CTGTGGAAGGGGTAAGGTAAGCTATGCCAAAGAAGACTGGCCATTGAGCATCAAAAGCTGCGCACTTGGTAGATTTTATTTTATTTTTATTTTTGCTAGGTAATCAGGGTTACGTGACTTGCCCAGGGTCACACAACTAGTAAGTGTCACATGTCCAAGGCCAGATTTGAACTCAAGTACTTCTCACTCCAGGGCCAACATTCTATCCGCTGTGCCACTTAGCTGTCCCTCACTTGATTGTTTGTCCTTCATTCTCAAAGAGGACCATGACATCAAGAAGATGATGTCATGACTGACAAGTGACTTAGATTTAAGTGAGGCAGGGCTGTGCAAAGTCACCAGCCTTATTCTCTCCTCCGGAGCCATCTGGGTCCAGTGGCAAGGTATAGATCAGGATGACTAGAGATGGCCCTGGGTGCAGTGGGAGACCTCGGCCTTTTTAAGCTGTCTTTCCTAAGTCTCAATTTGTCTGAGACAACACCCATTCGGTCATTAAGACTAGATAAGAAATGAGGCAAAGAATGACCTCTTTGGCCTAGTTGAAAAAAAAATCAATCTGGAAGAGGAAACCCTCAGGGTTTCTGGCTAAAACACAAACAATTACTATTTGCACTCACTCTGAATCATCAGAACCCATTGGACCCAGATAGTTCCGAAGGAGAGAGTGGGGCTGGTGACTTTGCACATCCCTGTCTCACTTAAATCCAATTCACTTGCATGTCATAGCATCATCTCCTTAATGTCCTGGTCCTCTTCAAGAGCAAAGGACAGACAACAACAACAATCTGTGAGTGGTGGTATCTGCCCAAGGGGGACCCAACTGGCCAGGTCCAGTTGGGCAATTCAGCTCCTTCCTCCCTTCCCTCCCTCCCTCCCTCCTCCTTCCTTCCTTCCTTCCTTCCTTCCTTTTTCCTTCCTTCCTTCCTTCCTTCCTTCCTTCCTTCCTTCCTTTTGTTTCTTTCCTTCCTTCCTTCCTTCCTTCCTTCCTTCCTTCCTTCCTTCCTTCCTTCCTTCCTTCCTTCCTTCCTTCCTTCCTTCCTTCCTTCCTTCCTTCCCTCCTCTCCCTCTGTCTATATAGGGAATCATACCCTTACCGGCTGGTCCTCTGCCCAAAGGAATATAAATTTTGATTACTGAAACCTTGCAGTATATCTTGGGAGTTATAGGCTAGATTTCTTTTTTAAGAACCACATCTTAAACCCAAAACACTCTGGCTCTCATTGATTGGCCAACAATAGGTCCCAGACCAAGCCTCATTCAGTAGATTTTTTTAAAAGGACACAACTCCTCCTGTAGGCTCCTTCTCTTCCCATCAGTTGATTATATCAGGACTCTTTGAACGACTCCCTCAGACATATGTCAAAGAGACGAGGGGGTAATTTATCCTTTCCCTCAACGCCTGGGAGTTCTGGTGCCCATTTGCACGTAGTAGTGAGAGCTTGTCAGGGAACCATGAGATTAGATTCAAAGGCTCTGTTCTGTATTTCTTTCCCTGAGTACAGGACCACACAGCGACCCTGAGATGGGTGTTTCTAGCTTTGATAACAACCTTGGGAGTTCAAGAGGCCAGGTGCTCCTTAATCTGGGTTCTGGTTTCCAAGCAGGATGTAATCTCTGAAGCGGCTTCTCAGAGATGATGACCAGCACCATGACCTGGCTGACCAGAACATATGGATCTTGATTGAGTGGCTGGGACAGTGCAGATTGGAAAAGAAAGTAAAATGCCTATTCATCCATCCCATAAAGTGTTTTATGTTTTAAGTACTGACCTCCTGGAAGGGTATAATGTGTGATGGCTTACTGTTATGTTTGAAATATTTGCCAATGTGCAGTCTTTTGTATTGGCAGCTAGGTGGCGCAGTGGATAGAGATCTGGGCCTTGAGCCAGGAATATAGTTCAAACCAGCTATGTGACACTGAATCACTTAACTGTTGTCTACCTCAGTTTTCTCAACTGTAAAATGGAGATAATAATGGCACCCACCTCCCAGAGTCATTGTGAGGATAAAATGAGTTAATATTTATAAAACATTTAGCACAGTGCCTGGCACATGGTACATGCTTAATGCTTATTTCCCATTCCCCTTAATAAGTTTCTGTTCCTCATTCCTTTCTCTTTCTTCTGTTGTGGAGGAAGTAAATAGATGTACTATAGCTTATCTACTTTGATACTGAGTAACTTTTAAAAAAGAACCCTGTTAATCGCTGTTGGAGGGCCAAACCAAAGCTTTAAGAGATTTTCTCCAAAGCTCTGGAATGGCGGTATATAAGCCAGAGTATAGCTCAGCAGGGCAGCTAAGTGGCGCAGTGGATAGAGCTCTGGCCCAGGAGTCAAGAGGACCTGAGTCCAAATACAGACTCAGACACATAACATTCACTAGCTATGTGACCCTGGGCAAGTCACTTAACCCCAATACCTAGTAAAAAAAACAAAACAAGAGTATAACTCGACTCCCCTCTCTGAGAACTGGCTTCCCCAGGACATGAACCCAGTTCACCTGAGCCCAAAGCTGGAGCCCCTTAATGAGAGAGGGCACCTTTTCCCATCCTGAGCCATCTTTATGCTATTATTAACAATTCTAATTGGCTTTCAGCTACTGTTATTCCCTAACAAAAATAAACAGTATACAAATTAAACAGGAAAGCAACACCAAAAAAAACTTCAAGGGACAGCTAGGTGGCACAGTGGATAGAGCACCGGCCTTGAGGTCAGGAGGACCTGAGTTCAAATCCTCCCTCAGACCAGCCACTTAACACTTACTAGCTGTGTGACCCCAGTCAAGTCACTTAAACCCAATTGCCTCACCAAAAAAACCCCCAAAAAACAAAAAAACAAAACTTCAGCAATTCTTGGACTGAAGCCATGATGGAATATTCCCCAGTGTGTTCTAAGAGGGATGTCTCTTTATATTTTTTAATTTTTTAATTTTTGCTTTTTGGTGAGGCAGTCGGGGTTAAGTGACTTGCCCAGGGTCACACAGCTAGTAAGTGTTAAGTGCCTGAGACTGGATTTGAACTCAGGTCCTTCTGACTCCAAGGCCAGAACTCTATTCAGTGTGCCACCTACCTCCCCCTGGATCTGTCTCTTTAAGGAAGGCTTGAGAAGCCTTGAACATGGTCCTACCTGTTTGGCTGTCTCCCAGTCTGTGGCTTGGTGCTTTACATGAGCCTGATACCCTTCAGAATGCTTTTCATCCCATTATAGACTCTTCCATATGAGGCTGGTTTTTTCATTTTGGCTTCTGCATACTTTCCCTTTTTGCTTTTTTTTGCATATAGTGCCACAACTTCATTCAAGCCCCTAACCTGAGTTCCTCTTCCTCTGTAAAACCTGGGAGATGACACCCCAGCCCCCTGGGGCCTTGGGTCTTTACCATCATCTGCTCAAGAAATATTGCTCTTCCCAGAATCTCCATGGGAGTTTCCCTTTATGTTTAATTCCAATCCAGAAGTATGTAATATCTATGCAGTAGTACTCCTTTTGATTGGAAGGGGACAATGGTGGGCATGGCCCTATGGAGGACTCAGGCTGTCTCAGCTGTCTAAGGTTGGAAAACTGTCCATTTGGTAGACAAATTCCCAGGACACCATGCTTCTAGGTGGTGTTTCTAGAGGGGGAGCACAGGGCAAAGGATTTCTGGGTATTTCCAGGGCTATTCCTTCTCCATGATGCCATTATGGGCTGGGGCTGCCCTGTGAATTCTTGAGGCTTACATGCCCTCCTGATGCTGCCCCTGCCAGTTCCTTTACAACCCCAGATGTATGTTTTTCTGGGGTCACCAGAGTCAAGGCTGCCACTTATTTGGTCTCTCCTCCAGACCAGATGAAATTTGGCTCTGTCCTGGGCCTAAATGTGACTGTAGTTCTTCCTCCCTACCTTATTTGATAAACCCATCACTGGAGAAATCTCTTTGACTGGGCAGATATCATGTGCCGGGGGGGGGGAGATGGTTGGGAGAGACTGCACCTGCCCTTTGGGAGCAGGGGTCACCTTGAAATGTGAAGACATCCCTAGGCAGGCTCCTTGCAGACTGTTCTTTCTTGCTACTTTTCTCCCCTCCCCTTTGCCACTAGACAGTAGTCGCTCTAATTTGGCAGATATGGTCAATCAGTTAACCAGGCCCTGAGGGGAGTCAGAAGTTGAGGCAGCCTTCATTATAGACAGGTTAACTAAGAGGGAGCAGCCCTTGTTCCGCAGTGTGGAGAGAGCTGTTTAGAAGATGCTAGAGCAGCAAGATGGAGGTGTGGGGGAATATGGAAGGTGCTCTTCCTTCCCTTCCACTCTTGCAGACTCTCCACCCTACCCCAAGTGAACAGAAAGGGGTGTCTCAGTGAGAGGTACCACCCAGGCTGCTTGCTCGGGGCCAGCGAGCCTGGGGTAGGCGTACGCCTGTGGCTAATGACCAGGATCCACAGGAGAGGCTCTGCCTCTTTCCTGAACCCATCATGGGCTCCCCAGCTTCCAGTGGTTTTGGATGAGTTTAAAAGCAGGCTCTTGATCAAAGCTTTCCAACTCTTCCCTGGGGGACTAAGAAGTCTGGTTAATCCTGGGTGCTTTCCTTCTGTGTGTCTTAGAGGCAGGATGGGAGGTAGGGATGAAGAACGAAAAGCAGAAACAGGTTGATAAGAAGTCTTTGTCCTTCCTTTAGCTACTAGTGGCATGAATTAGGAGCCATGGGGATGGCAGGTTTGGACCTAGCCCCAAGGCTGGCTGTGGGTATGTACAGAGCACGTGGACAACTGTACTTAAATTGGTTCACTTACCAATCTTCTCCTTTGTTCAATTCCATTCAATTAAACAAACATTTATTAATGCCTACTGTGTATAAGGCGCTAAGAGGTGCTGGGGAGACAAAGGCCAAAACAAGTGACAATCCTTGCCCTCAAGGGGCTAACATTCTGTTTTCCAGGATAAAACTTGTTCCTGCCTTGGTACTTATCACCAGTGGGTGTCAGGCTCACTGGCCCACTGTGTGTGCAGGTTCAACCCAATAACTTTCTCAAAGCTGAAGGTAAGTAGGACTGGATGCACTCTGGAGAAGAGCAGCGGGGGCGGAGGAGGGGGGAGGTCTGTCTTCTCTCTGTTTCTTCTTTGGAATCTTCTCCTTTTTGACCATGTCAGAAAATTCTGAAGGGAGAAAGGAAAGATAATGGATACTTCATGTTATATGATCTTTTCTCAAAGCCTCATTATACCTTATTGGTCCTTGCAACAACCCATCAAAAGAGAGAGAGAGGGAAGGATCATTATGCCTGTTTTACATCTGGGGAAGTAGAGGCTCAGAAAAGCTGGGTGATACACAGTGAGTAGGTCATAAAGGCAGGACCTGGGATCTCCAAGGTCTTCTAAGTCTTAACCTAGCTCTCTCCCCACTGGACCAAATGGCCAGAGAGGAATAAAGATACTGAGACCTGAAAAGGGATGTCCATGGGAGAGGTCAGAAAGGGACTCTGTGTACCTGTAGTAGCATGTCACATAGTCAGTGTTCTATATTGGACCTCATGGGGAGGGTTACTGCTGTGTGGTACAGGAGAAAGAGCAATGGATTTGGAACCTATGCAGTAGTATTCCTGTTGCCTAGAAGGAGACGATGGTGGACATGTCCCTATACAAGACTCAGACTTTCCCAAACGTCCAGGATTGGAAAACTTCTGTCCATTTGTGAGACAGATACCCAGGTTCATATCCTGGCTTTACCATTCGGTGCACATGTGATCTTGGGCAAGTCACTAAGCTGTTCTTGGTCTCAATTTTTTCATCTCTCAAAAAAAAAAAGGGATTGGACAAGGTATCTTAAGTTCTCTTCTATCTCTAAATCTGTGATCCTATTATCTCTCCTCTCCTTCCCAGGACCTTAAAAAATCTAGTTGCAGAGCCTGAAAGTACCCTGTACACAGTAGGCACTTAATAAATGTTCATTTAATTGAAGGGACATTAAGTACTCTGTCTCCTCAAATATTCTTAGAATGCTCTGATCTCTCCTTTGCCTCCTTTACTCTCTATCTTATTATTATCTGTGTACATGTATTCCCTTTCCCCAGTAGAATGGAAGCTCCTAAAGGGTAGGGATTTTTTTCTTTCAATCTTTACTGCTTAACGCATAGTAGCCACTTACTAAATATTTATTGAGAGCTAGTAAAAATGAAGGGGTTAGACCAAATAGATGGATGATCTATCTCTAAGGTCCTAGGGCACCATGATTTTAGGATTAAAGTGAACTCACCCACAGCACAACTTGTAAATACATGAAAACCCCCAGGGTGAGATAACTTGGCAGTTATAGAGGGAACAGAATCAAAGGGCTTTGATCAAGGTCAAAGGGCAGCTATTTATCCCTCCTGAAATCTAGAGAGATAGTGTCCTCAGGGAGCGTATCTCTCTGTTGCTAGTCCTAGAGCTACCTCCTGGCTTCCAAACCTAGTAGCTTCTTCATCAACCACAGCCAATGAATGGTACAAGGAGAGTCAAGGCTAGGGTTCTACCAAGGCAGAGGCATTGGGACCAATGGGGAGCACCAGGAGGTGACCCTTGGGTGCCTCAGAGCTATTCAGGGATTCTGTCCTGCAGGGACAAGAATATGTTTCTCAGCTGATCAGCATAAAATATCTTCTTCTAATCAAGTACTTCAAGAGTACTGCATTCGGTCTTGGGTTCTGTATTTCAGAAGAGATAAACGGGAACACATTCAGACAGGGCATTTTGGGATGATGAGGGGACTTGAAACCAAGACATAGGAGGATTGGGTTGAAAGGAAATAGGGATGTTTAGCCTGGAGAACAGAAGACTTGCAGTACATGATAACCATCAGAAGGGCCTTGCTCATAGCAGAGGCTTAATAGGTATTTGTTGAATCTAATTGAATTGGAAAACTTGAAAAGTTGTCCTGTGAATCCTCATCCCTAAGAAAATTCCACTGTCTAATTTCTCTGCTCCTGCTCCAGGGCTGCTGAGTATCTATCTGTCAGTGGAGGAAAGTCAAAAGATTGAGCTAATTTCATCCACTTCAGATTTATGATACATAAGCTTAGCTGGGTCCTCTCTGCTGCTCTAAAAATCCTGTTTTATCAGCTCTTTATCTCATTGCCTGCAGCAGTTGTTCTGAGCTTTTCCCTCTCTTCCCTGGCACTCTTAACCATTGCTCTTAAAGCAGCTGCCTTAGCTCTCTGTTTCACTGCGATGGTTGAAACCATCAGAGAACAGCTCCCTCAGTGCCCTGTTCTTCAGGACTACTTAGCAGCATCACCTACTATCTCTTACTTCCCTCTAACATAAGTGTTATCCTTATAGGGCTAATTTCTTGACCTGAGACCCCTTTCTCCATTCATCATCCCTCTTCTTTCATTCATCTTTCAAGCCATCTTTCCCTTGCCTGTGGCTTCTTCCACGTCTGCCTACCAACATGTTCAGTCTTCAAAACATGTCTTCCCTTGACCCTCCTAGCTTTCTTCTCTCCTTCATTGTTAACCTTGAGAAAATTATCTTCATCTTATGCCTCAGCTTCCTCACTACTTATTCTTTCCTAGCCTTAATCCTTTCTACCTCCCACTCCAACCCTGACATTACTGAAACTAGTCTCTAAGGTCACCAATCAGGACCTAATCACCAAATCCATTGGTCTTTTATTCTCAGTATTCATCCTCCTCCTTATCTCTATAGTACTTGACTGTCTCTTACTGAATATCTTTTTTTTTCCTTTCTCTTGACTCCAGAGACACCACATCCTCCTGGTTTTCTTCTTACCCTTTAAATGGCTATTTCTTTGTCTCCTACGATTCCTCATCCTCTTCCAGAACCCTAAACGTTCTATTTCTCTCCCTCTTCTCTCTCTCTCTCAACTTTCTCTTTTGGCAAATGTTTTCATTCCTATCCCATTAAACTCTTTGCAGACCCCTCCCACATCTCTATTTCCAGTCATGAATTCTCTTCTAAGCTCCAGACCACATCTTTAAATACCTACAGGACATCTCTACCCAGAAAATCCACTGGCGCACTGGACCCAACATATTAAAAAAGAAATAAGCTTAGGCATGTCCCCAGGACTTCATTCTCCATGATGCTCAGAGAGCATTGCTCATTGGAAGAAATTTCCTCAGAGACTGTATATCTGGGTGAAAAGCATTAGTGTTAACAGGTGAAAATTCTTGAGTCCTTAAGGTGGGAAGACTTACAGGGGCAGGACATTTTAAAAATTAAATTAAATTTTAAATTTAAATTTAAAAAATGCAACCAAAGCAAAGGGATCAGCAGAGGGGCAGCCAAACCAGCTAAACCACAGATCAGCAGAGAAGAAAACAAAGAGGTGCCTCCTGAAAGTGCCTGCAAGGTCTCCAAACCCAAGAGCCCTGGCAAAAGCCTGACCACTCTGTAGGCAGTGAGAGGAATGTCTCCACTTAAAAAGGCTTCAGCAGATCTCCATGCCAGCTACCAAAATCGGACTGCAAGGAGACGCAAAACAACCAAGTCTTTCCTTCACTCCATCTGCCCACACAGGAGAGAAAGCGTCCTCACCCCAGCATATATTGTCCATTTCCTCCATTTGTGTATGGAGGTTAAGAATTATGATCTTGGTGCCCCCAATGGGGAAGCAATTGAAAAGTATTTAACAAAATAAATAAAACCCAGTAGAACACAGAGAATGTTAATATGTGGTTGTCTAAGTCAATATGAGGCCTTGCAAGGATCTTTATGTGCCCCACCCCTTTTACTTGAGTTTGACACCACTACTTTATAGCACTTTATGCCGTCCTTTCACCTGGGTCTATGTCACCCCCCTGGTCAAAAAGTCTTCTATGGCTCCCTATTGCCTCCCAAGTTCAAACTCCTTTGCCTGACATTCAAGGACCAACCTCTAAAACCTGGTGTCTTATCTCACATTACTCCTGTTTATTCAGTCTACAGGACCATGAATCTATCCCAATCCTCATGACTAGATTGTTCTACTTTAAATATGTTGAACTCCTTTCCTTCCTTTAAAGCCCAAATCAAATACTGTCACCTTCGTGAGACCTTTCCTGATCTCATCTGTCAATAATGCTTTTCACCCATGAACTTCAGATAGCATTTCTCTTACAACTCTATAATAACAACAATAATAATAATTATAATTATAATAACAACAACTGATGTTTGTACAACACTTTAAAGTGCGCATTCTCTTTTGCTGGTAATGGTGACCTTGTAAGGTGAGAGAAATTATTTTACTATTATATTAATAACCAATTATTAAATTGGGATCCAAGCTTTTCTCCTCAGTTTCTTCATTGAGGCCCAGTTCTTGTTAAAAAGTCAGTCTCTAAAGGACATGACTGAGAGATGAAATTACCCCTACCCTCAAGGAACATGCTCTTCAATTTTGACCCCAACCAACTAGGAGACTTTACTTCTGTTTACAGTATAATCAGAATCCAAGTTCTTACCCTGGGAAAAGAGTCCCTATCCTTGTACCCCCTCCATTAGAGTTTAGGGTGATCTAACTTATGAAGGAGAAAACCAACCAGAGTGGTCTGGATGAAGATGGATTCCCCGTCTGTATTGTTGGAGGTGGCTGAGTCTCATGATCAAGCTATGTTCTCAGCAGGAGGAGCTGAAGACTTCTAGCCCACCTCCTCATTAAATGTCCACCAATCAGGGTTGATTTTCACTTGTCAAGGGCATTCCCTTTCAAGGATTGTTTATAACTTTCAGGCTGTCTGTAGGTCATCTTTGGTTACCAAGAGAAACCACTGACCATCAATTTATTGCTGCCAGGTAGCTTAATTAATAAATTATTGATTACCCAGAAACTCTGTCTCTTAGGGTTTTCCATTCATCACAAAGGTAGTCCAGCAGCTAGATGGCACAATAGATAGAGGGCTGATCCTGGACTCAGGAAGATGGGAGTTCAAATCTCTGGCCTCAGACTCTTAGTAGCTGTGTGACCCTTGGCAAGTCAGTTAACCTCTGTCTCCCTCAGTTTCCTCAACTGTAAAATGAGGGTAGCAATAGCACCTATCTCACAGGGCTGTTGTGAGAGTCAAATGAGGTAATATTTGTAAAGCACTTCACACAGTGCCAGGCACATGGTAGATGCTCAATAAATGCTTCTTTCTTTCCTTTCTCCCCCATATGAGGAAATTGAGGCTCAGAAAATTTAATAAACTCACATATTAGAGTTAACTGTGTATACATCACATCCACCTTCTAGACTGTAAGTTCTCTGAAGTCAGGGTCGATGTCTTTCGTTTTGTTTGTTTGTTTGCTTGTTTTTGCTAGGCAATGGGTTTAAGTGACTTGCCCAGGGTCACACAGCTAGTAAGTGTTATGTGTCTGAGGCCGGATTTGAACTCAGGTCCTCCTGAATCCAGGGCCGGTGCTCTATCCACTGCGCCACCTAGCTGCCTCAGGGTCGATATCTTGCTTAAACTTTGTATCACCCCCGGTGCCTAGCGTTGTGTTCCGCACATAGTAGGTGATTAGTAAATGTTTCTTGAATGAATGCTCGGTCCTAAGGATGATAACTAGGACCAGGGAGTTGAAGTTACAGGAAAGTAGACTTTGAGTCAGCATAAGGAAAGATTCCCTGACACTGAGAGCTGATTAGCAATGGAATGGACTGCCTCAGGAGTACTAAGTTCCCTTTTCTAAAGGCATTCAGGTGGAAGCTAGCTGACCTTTTATAGAGGGTGTTGTAAATAAGATTTATCCTTTGGGCAGGGATTTATTTGTCTAAGTAACCTCCGAGGTATATCCCAGTTCTGCAGTCCTGTGACAGCTAGGCAGATGTGCTCTGGGGACATGTAAATCACAGAGAGGTGTAGAGGCTAGGCTGGGAGGACCCTGCGCCCTGAGCAGGCAGTGCCTTCACTGCAGAACTGGGAATTAGTTTGTCTCCTCATTTCCCTATTCACCATCACTCCCAGGGTCTGCTCCACCTCTTTCCCTTCAGTCCCCATACCACCAACCTTCAAAGTCAGTCCGTCCATCTCCATCTGTGTCAGCTGCCTGGATCATAGCCTCAGCCTCTTCATCTGTCAGGGGGGCTACAGGGCCAGTACTGGGGATCGTGGACAGGATGTACCTGTGGAGCAGAGATCCCTGGACCTCAGAGAATGGGAAGCTTTGGAATAGCTGGAGTATAGAGGTATGGGATGTTCTCAGGGCTTTGGATCTAAGTTGTCTGTTGGTTTTCTTACTCTCAGAGAAGGTTGTGGACACAGCCAAGGGCACTTGGGGATGGTGAGTGATCAGATGAGAAAAGCCTAGAATGGGGCAATGCCTGTTTTTCTTGTTCTGTCCTCCTGGGTATACAGAGGTAGATAGGAGACAGGAGAAGGGAAGTTATGTGGGTAGGAAGAACAGATAAAGGACAATAAAAGGAGAGAGAGAGAATGTATTCCTATCCAGTTGCACATTTTCTTCCCTTCCCATTATCTGTGAATCTTTTTTATGCCCCTCGACATCAATAGTGTGTGTAACTTTTAAGCCCTAAGGGAGGGGACTATAGCTGTGCAATTTGGAGGGAGGGGTATCACCTATCACAGAGCCTTGGTGGGGTCAGTGGGGCATAGTAGAAAGTCTGAAGACATATTTTACTCCCAGCTCCAACAATGACTGCCCACTTAAATGATTACATGACCTTGGGCAAATCATTGCCTTTCTATGGACCTCATTTGAAAAATGAAGAGGTTGTCCTGGATGATAGCTGACCTCCCTTCTGGCTTAGACTGTCCAAGATTCTAGGATTAGAGGAGGCGAGGGAGGGCTCCCAAGAGTGGAGGAGAAGGCAGACAAAGGGAGGGACAAGGATGGGGCCCAGGGCCACTCCCTGCCCTTTCCTTGATCTCATTCCACTCAATGAAGCCTCTCTTATCTTTGTCCAACATCTGGAAGGATTTCCGGATGATCTCCTCCTGCTGGCTTGAGCTCTGGAACTTCTGCATGTACTCAAAGAATCTGTTGTAGTTGAAAGAGCCTAGAATAATAATGGTGCATAATACATGTTAGCAGTGCAAATATTAGTATCTCCATTAGAGGAAGCTAGATGGCATAGTGAATAAAGGGCTGGTCCTGACTCAGGAAAACCTGAGTTCAAATCTGGCTTGAGACTCTGACTAGCTGCTATGACCCTGGATAAGTCACTTAACTTCTGTTGGCCTCAACTTTCTCAACTGTAAAATGGGGATAATACAGGCACACTTCATTTTATTGTGCTTCACAGATATTGTGTTTTTTGTTTTGTTTTGTTTTTTACAAATAAAAGGTTTGTGGCAACCCTGCGTCGAGCAAATCTATCGGCATCATTTTTCCAAAAGCACATGCTCGTGTCGTGTCTCTGTGTTACATTTTGGTAATTCTTGTGGCGTTTCAAACCTTTCCATTATTATTATTATTATTATATCTATCATGTTGATCTGTGATCAGTGATCTTTAAGGTTATCATTGTCATTGTCTTGGGGTGCCATGGACTGTGCCCATATAAGGTGGTGAATTTATGTGACAAATATCGTGTGTGTTTTGACTGCTTCACCCACTGGTTGTTACCTGTCTCCCTCCCTCTCCTCAGGCCTCCCTATTCCCTGAGACACAGCAATATTGAAATTAGTCTAATTAATAGCTCTACAATGGCCTTTAAGTGTTCAAGTGAAAGGAAGAGTTAATCGATGCAGCAAACTTCATTGTTGTCTTGTTTTAAGAAATTGCCACAGCCACCCCAACCTTCAGCAACCACCACCCTGATCAGTCAGCAGCCATCAGCATTGAGCCAAGACCTTCCACCAGCAAAAAGATTACGACTTGCTGAAGGCTCAGATGATGGCTAGCATTTTTTTTTTTAGCAATAAAGTCTTTTTTTTTTTTTTGCTTTTTTTGGTGAGACAATCAGGATTAAGTGACTTGCCTACGGTCACACAGCTAGTAAGTGCCAAGTGTCTGAGGTCAGATTTGAACTCAGGTCCTTCTGACTCCAAGGCTGGAGCTCTGTGCCACCTAGCTACCCTAATAAAGTCTTTTTTAATTAAGGTATGTGCATTGTTTTTTTTAAAGACATAATACCACTGCACACTTAATACTACATACAGCATAGTGCAAGCATGACTTTTACTTGCATTGGGAAACCAAAAAATTCGTGACTTGCTTTATTGCAATACTCACTTCATTGGAACCAAACCCACAGTGTCTCCGAGGTATGCCCGTGGTACCTACCTGTCAGGGTAGATATGAGGATCAAATGAGGTAAGAGAGTAGGCACAATAAATGCTTGTTTCTTTCCTTCCCATCTTGCATATGAAGAAATAGGGTCAGATTTACCCAAGGTTAGAAGAGTTGGAGGTAGGGTTCAAACTCAGCCCCTTCAATATGCTATGCTTTCTTTCAAGCCACAGAGGGGAGAGTTGATAGGGCAGGGTAGTTGTTAGGCAGATTGGAGGTGGTGGCAGTCACAGAAGATCTAATGCTCCCAGTCTCTAGTTGATGGGGTAGGGTATTTTGGAGCTATGGGCTCATGGTTGGCCCAACTGAGACACCAGCCTCGAACAGGCAAGGAAAGAGATCCAGAGAAGAAGCTCAGGGTTGAGGTCCCTTCCTGGTGCATAGAGGCTCTAGAGAGGAAGTGAGGGAAGGGCATTGGGTGCCTAGGAGAAGAACAGAAGTATAGGCCAGATGTCACTTATTGCCAATGGCCTGAAGAAAGGCTATTAACACCAGAGTTCCAGGAACCTATGATCTAACAAACCAGCCAGACGCCAGGTCTGCCAACCAATGGGGTAAACATGGGATTCTAGTTTCTCCCCATACCCCACCTTGGGGGCTGTGCAATTATTTGTCCACTAGTGCTGGGGAATGGGATGAGGGCCCAAAGCTGGGACTAGTCCACGGCACTGGAAGAATACAAAATAGGACACTTCCCCCTCACCCCAATAAATGCACATTTCTTTAATGCCAAAAGATGTTGCTCTCTACCCCACATTGTTATGTATTTTGGGATAGATTGAGTCCCATGTAACAGAGGTATAAGGTAGACAGTAACACAAAGAAGACAGGCAATTTTAAAACCTGGCTTAGTTAGAGAATACAGAGATGCCTTGTGCAGGTTCTGCTCTCCCCCAGATCTGCGTGGAGCACAGCTAAGGAGAATGGTTAATCTGCATTAACTCCCATGCCTTACCATGGTGCCTCATGTCTGATGGCAGCATGTCAATGTCTTTGTCTGATAGGGGTGTCCCCATAGCCAGACCAATCTTCTTCACCTGGGAGGAGAAATTTTCATCCATCGTGACCTCTGGAGAAAGAATCAGGTACTAAGTGAGGGCCCAGGAGACTCTGGCTCTCTGGAATCCATGGGCTAGCTAGGGAGGTGGCTTTTTTCAATGCACATGGAATTTACTTTATGTAAAAGGCTTGCATACATTTTTAGTTAATCAAATTTTTGCAAACCAAATTATATTTTTAAATGCATTAGAAAAGCTAGCTATTTAAAGAAAGCCCATAGTGAATCCTTTTAGAAAGCAAAAAGTGGGGCAGCTAGGTGGCACAGAGAATAGAGTACCAGCCCTGAAGTCAGGAGTACCTGAGTTCAAATCAGACCTCAGACCAAACACTTGACACTTACTAGCTGTGTGACCCTGGGCAAGTCACTTAACCCCAACTGCCTAAAAAAAAAAACACAAGAAAGCAAAAAGTTAGGTAGGGCTAATAATAAAGAAAGCTCACATTTGACTTTAAGGTTTATGAAGTATTTTCCTTAAACAGCTCTCTAAGGTAAGTATTGCATTCCCATTTAACAAATAGAAACAATGATGCTCATAATTCCATAAGATCTGGAATGCTTAAAATCAAGGTCAAATTCTATATTGTACAGTATAATAAAAAATACTGGGCTTCTTCTGGGACAGGTTACCCTCAGATCCCTTACCTTCCTACCAACTTTCTCCTGAGAAAACATTTACCCCAAATGATAATTTGCATATAATTTTTATGTTATTGATTTCATATAAAAATATATAGGTCCCTCCCAACCCTTGCTACTTTAGTCTCACCCTAAACCACTCCCTATGGAATTAGATTGGATTACCCTCCCCCCCCAAAAAAAATCTACTGCATTGTAGAGCTAAAACTAAATAGGGGAGAGCAGGATTTTGCCCCCAGGGTACCTCTCTCCCTACTGCACACCACCCCCACCCCCAGCAGGCTTCTATTCATCTCTGGGGACTTGCCTTTTTCCACTGCTACTGTCAAGACTTGCCAGCCCGTCTCTTGCCACCTAGCCCAGGGACCCATCCCACATGGAAACCCAGGACACACCCAACCTCTTCAGTGGCAGCTATGGTGTAGCCTGGGGTCTTCCCCTGCTCCCACTCAAATGAATTTGCTCCAGGTACTAGACATTCCTAGTTTTAACTTTCCTGGTTGGGTCCTTTGAGTATTCAGCTATTTCCATCCATCAATGCCTCAAACTTGAGCAGCCTCCATGTATCTGTAAGACCTTCTGATATATGCAAGGTCTATTCATATATGTGGGCAGCTAGGTGATGCAGTGGATAGAGAGCCGCCCCTGGAGTCAGTAGGACATGAGTTCAAATCCGGCCTCAGACACTAGCTGTGTGACCCTGAGCAAGTCACTTAGCCCTGTTTACCTCAGTTCCTTATCTGTAAAATGAGCTGGAGAAGGAAATGGTAAACTGCTCCAATATCTTCGGAGAGTCAGACCCTATTGAAACGACCCAACAACAAAAATTCATATGTTTGTCCCTTGCAGATATCTGTGTGTTGCCCGTATACCTTGGTGATGTTCTGAAAGCCCACAGATCGAAAATCCCAGAAACCCAGAAACATTACAACTGAGCCTGGGACCTAGGCCTGGCCCAAACCCCATTCTTGAAGAATCTAGACCCAATTGGTGAAGAGGCGAAGAGGGAACTCTCCAAAAAAGCAATTTGTGTCTGCTGATGGAACTTACCTATGTTTCTCTTTTCCAGACAGGAAGAGAGCATTAATTCAATTCCCTGGAACATTCTGCCTGGTGGCCTGGAAACAACTATGGACGTAGCCTGTTGGGGGTGGGCATCCCATCCTGAATGACTGCCAAAAGCTTGGCTTCACAAATTTCTAGTTCCATCGAGGTGCCTACCTTTGGACCAGACCCAAGGGCCTCATGAAAATCAAGCAGCAAATAGGAAGTCTGAACCAAGAGAGCTCTTTCTTTCTTTCATGTACATATATATATATGTATATATATGTATTTTTTTGTGGGGGGAGGCAATTGGGGCTAAATGACTTGACCAGGGTCACATAGCTAGTAAATGTCTAAGGCTGGATTTGAACTCAGTTCCTCCTGACTCCAGGGCCAGTGCTGTATCCACTGCACCACTAGACACCCATGAGCTAGGAGAGATCTTATAGAGACTATCTAGTCCAACTCCCTCTTGTGGCCCAGAGAGAAGCAACTTGGTCACCTACCAAAGGCAGTGATCAACCCTGGGACTTGAATCCAGGTCTTCTGACTTCAAGGCCAATGCTCTTTCCACTCTTTCCACACTCCCTCCTTTCCAGGGGAATAACTTAAGGAAGATCAGAATCTTTGACTTCATTGCTCTTCTTTGTTCTGAGTGATGCTGGTGCTGACTGTGGTCAGTATGCAGCTATGGCCAAAGAAACATATGCTCGTAGTCCCTTTTGCCCAAAGAACCCAGAGAGGATTCCCTTCAGTTTCAACTACAAGATGTGAGCTAGAAGAAATGTCAAAAGTCATCTGGTTCACCTTCATTTTACAGGTGAGGAAACTGAGGTATAGAGAAAGGAAATGACTTGTCCAAGGTCACACAGCTAGTTTTTGACAGAGCTGTGACTTGGACTTCCAATCCAGTACACTTTCCATCATGCTAGGCTGCCTCTCCTACTTCCGTCCCTATCAGCAGACCTTCTCTGTTCTCTACTTTTTTCTCTCATATCCATGGTTCAAGGGTGGCTGGCACCTGTTGCTCCTGACTGGTACCTGCCACCAAAGTTGATAGTCCCATGACTATGTAACATGATGTAATGGAGAGTCTGGACTTGGAGTAAAGGGGTTTGGTTTTCATTCCTGGATCTAAGGATTACGAGCTGTATGACCTCAGACATTCTCAACCTTGGTTTCCCTCGATGGAAATAATAACACACTACCTATCTCATGGGTTTGTAACCCTTACAACGTCATATAAATATTAACTGTAATGATTGCACCATTGCAGATGATGCCTCACAGCAGAAAGGGTGGCTTTCCTCTTCCCTCCCAGCTTTGGGGGTACCCTCTCCTAGAATATTACCTGCCCTATGCCTGGGTCTCTTCTAGCTGGGTGGTTCCAGTTGCAGGGGGGATGAGCTGGCTGCATTCCCAGCTTGGTTTTACCCCCAGCTCTTCTTCTTCCCCAAATCTCATCCCCTTGCCAGCAGTCTCCCCACCCTGGAGATACCTCTCCCATGAGGCCCACTCCGCTGATCAGTAGATCCCTAGCTCAGACCACTATAGCGCAGGCCATGGTCACTTCATTCCTGGCTCCATTCTCTCTAGACTTCCCTGTCTTTTCACCAGCATCCTTCCTTTCATCTGAGTATCCTTCTTCTTCCTCTCATTGTCCAGCTCCCCTTTACATGCTGTCTTCCTCCATTAGAATGTAAGTTCCTTGGGAATAGGGACTGCTTTATTTGCTTATATTCATATCCTTAACACTTAGCACAGTACCTGGCATGTATTCCAATCTATCTCCTATTTATCCATCCATTTATCTAGTCTACCTATCTGTGTCTATCTAGTCTATATATCCACCCAGTCTATCCATCTATCTAGTCTTTCTATCCATTTATCAATCTAGTCTATCTGTGTCCATCTATCTATCTAGTCTATCCATTCATCTATGTAGTCTAGCCTATCTATCTGTTCTGTTTATCCATACATCTATTTATCTAGTCTATCTGTCCATCCATCTCTCTCTCTCTCTCTCTCTCTCTCTCCATCTCTTAGTACTGCTTGTTTAGCAAACAATTGTAGAGAATCCACCATCTTGGAAAGCTTTTCCCTGGAATTGACCTGCCAAGCACCTAAGCTGTCTTCTGGGCTCTAGTTCAATGGGAATCTCCAGTCTGTGATTTCTCCTCCATTGTCAATGACTAAATAGCCATCTTGCATCAAGTTCCAAGGAAGGGGGTGGAGTATACAGCCAGTTCTCACTCTTCTTTTGTATTCATAAGGGGCATCACAGGGTCATAGTCAAAGGAAAGCAATCCTAAATCTGCTTTTGCAGAAGCTATGGTCAAAAGGTACAAGTCTCACACTGAGAAAGCCAAGTCCAAGTTAGGGGGAACTGAGAAGATTAGGTCTGAAAGAGACCTCAAAAATTATCTGTTTCAACTCTCTTAAATTGCAAATGAGACCAAGGTCTCAGAGAGATGAAGTGATGTGCCCAAAGTCACAGAGTGAATAAATAGGCCAGCTAGGATTCAAATTCAGGTCCTCTTTCCTCTATGCTGTGTTCTCCCCTGGAAAGGATTGTAGTGATCATCTAGCCCAGGGGTAGGGAACCTGTGGCCTCTAAGCTACATGTGACTCTCTAGGTCCTCAAGTGTGGCCCTTTGACTGAATCTAAACTTCACAGAACAAATTGGTTTTTTTTCACAGAACAAATCTTAATAAAAGGATTTATTCTGTAAAACTCGGACTCAGTCAGAAGTGGCACCCTAGGACCTAGAAGGCCACAGGTGACCTCGAGACCACAGATTCCCGAGCCCTGATCTAGCCAATCCCCTCATCCTTGCAGTCTAACTAAAATTATGCTGAGCTAATTAAAGGCACTTGACCAGTGTCTTTCCTTACTGTGTATAATCATTCCCCTGAATTCTCTCTGAGGCTAGTAAAACAAAGGGTCCCATTTTAAGAAGAAGAGAAAAGGGGGAATGCTGGGACCCAGGACACAGATTTTATTCCCTGAGTGATGATGGCTTATGGAGGACCCAAACACTAGTGAGAATCAAGAAATGGTAACATCATTTTTTATTTCATAACACAGGGAAACCTCGATTGTACCCTTAGGGATATTAGGAGCCAGTCTGCCACACTCTCATGGTGAAATAGCTACCTTTAAAAGCCTCTGGCCAGCCCTACAATCATAAAATGATAGAAATCATCTCATTGGGCTCTCACATTTCACAGAAGAGGAAACTGAAGCCAAAGGAAGAAGGAAAAATGATTTCACAGAATTATAGAATTAAAGAATTTGATATTTGGAAGGGACTTTCTTGT